GATTGAAATTCCTAGGTGGATTGAATCCTAGGTGGATTGAAATTTAATATATGAACCTTCAGAATTACAATTCCATCCTGGTGATAGCTAGCATTGTTAAATGATAATAAAAAACTAAAATAAAAATTCCCGCGCACCTGGCACATCTTCCTGGCCGTGGATTGCATCATGTAGCTAGTCCAGACATTATGACTCATGAGACATGTTCACTCTTTATTTAATGAAATTTGAATAAAATTAGGACTATGGGACTTAGGGATAAAATTTACCTGAGAATTATCTGATGATGCCTCCAAAGATGATTCACAATATTCTAGTTTTTCTTGCTCCACAAATGGTCTCACTCGAACAGCAACACGAACAGGTATTTTGTTAGAGTTACTGTTCCTTTTTCTTCAGAATTCATCTTTTAATACAGATCTGCAGAGTTTCAAAATATATGAAGAAAAATGGATAGAAATTTAAAGGCTTTCACTATGTTTGTTAGTAGATTGTACTCATTGTACTAGTTTAGTAGTTACAACACAACCAAGTTCTGGTCTCACAGACTCACACTCTTGGTTCCAGTCCAGAGTCCACCTCTAAGTCTAAGTCTAACATGATTAAATGATTACAATCCATGGCTCAATGTCACTAACTTTGCCAGTTTGCCATAGCTGCTATGGCAAAGTTAGTGGCATTGAGCCACTGAGCACTAATGTCACCAGTGGTGAGTGGTGACTCACCACTCACCAGCCTTCAAATGAAGTTCAAAAGAATCCATCTCTTTTGTCAACAAAAATACAAAACTGATACTCAAGTAGACACTATATATAAAGAGCTCAGCAGCTAATTAGTTCCTATCTAATTACTTAAAGAACTCCCCCACCCGCCCCCCTTTCATGAAATGTCGTGAAATCATAAATCAACGTAGAGAGATGGCAGTGGTACCGTTGGATAGGGCAGAATGGCAGCTCTAAAATTAGTATGAAAACCGAAAAAGTAAAAATTTTCAATTTTAGGGTAGACGCTCCCCTTAATGTTGCTGTATGAATATGTTTTTGATCGTAATTATTGATCCAACGAGCAGTTGTACTGTAAGACAATTGTTGTGGTGCCGTCAGTTATGGTGGAGAAAACTTTGTTTTATCAAATCAATATCACTTTTGTAACGTCCATACTTCATAAATTGATTAGCGGTAATTATTTTTCGTTCAAATCGCGGAAACACCGTGAAGAATTTCGGGCAACTCCGTCAACTGGGACGCTCCCCTTAGACCATCTTGCAGCGGCCTTAACTTGTGTGCAATTATATTATATAATTATTCCCAGCCACTCTCTTTAGTGGTCCAATTACTCCCAGCCACTCTCTTAAATGTTCTAATTATTCTCAGTCACTCTCTTTAATGTTCTAATTACTCCCAGTCACTCTCTTTAATGTTCTAATTATTCCCAGTAACTCTCTTTAATGTTCTAATTACTCCCAGTCACTCTCTTTAATGTTCTAATTATTCCCAGTAACTCTCTTTAATGTTCTAATTACTCCCAGTCACTCTCTTTAATGTTCTAATTATTACCAGTCACTCTCTCTAGTGTTCTAATTAACCTCAGTCACTCTTGCTAAAATAATTAAAGTTTTCTGGAGCGTCCTTCCCAGCCGCGGGGTTACACCTCGACCTCCCCTTCCCTCTCTCTCTCTCTCTCTCTCTCCCCGTCACTCACGACTTTTATTTTCATTTCGCAAAGCCGCGATCAGACATTAGTCTTCCTCTTGAGCAACGCGCGTTCCCTACACGGCGGCTCATACTTGCAATTATTTTTAAATTCTTTCTCGTTTTGATCGGCCATTACGCGCAGCAGTTCACAGCAGCGTACGCACGTCGATACGGCGCTGGAAAGGTTCGGGCCGTCTCGCCGCCATCTTTCTTCGTTACCATCAAATTAAGGTTGAAAATTGACAATGAAACGCTTGCACTGTTTCGCATTATTGCAAATTTGAATAATTTCAATGTCTCTGAATCCCTCAAGCTGAACTGCATTGTTTCCTGTAATTTCCTTGCCCTCCCTCGCCCCACAGGAACATCGGCGTCTGTAGTTTCGTCCAGAACCCAGCAATTAATTTTGCATTGACATTTTTTCCAGTTGTTATTTTTCTGCGTTGTTACTTCAGATATGGTTTTTGATATTTTCCATATAATTGTTTTGTGTTCTCGAAACTTCCATATTGCAACTTATTTAGTAGCAACGTGGTTATTGGGTGTTTTGGAAAACCATTAAATTATCGCAATGGAGATGAAATTGATATTTTGTTCAATAACTAATGAATGAAACAACTGAACAAAATTTTAATCAAACAATCAATGCCACGCACGTTCCGTGACCTGCATTTTTAATATTCATGTGATAATGATTACGGACTTTCACTTTGCCCTGTTTGCATGCATTACGTCACGCTAGTTAAGAGAGTTGGCCTCGTAACCTTGGGATGGGAAAGGAGCAGTTGGCAGGCCTGCAGCGCCTCGCGCCGCTCGAGCGGTTGTGCTCTTATGGCCTGCTTAGTTATGGGAGGTCATTCGCTGCGCTGCAGCGACCGAGTGAGGAGGTGTTGTGCGTGTGCTCCGTGACCTCCGCTTCTTACGCCGATTCCGCTCCCGTTGATATAGTTGTGACGAAAACTCTTGCGCTATGATCCAAGAAAAGTGAAAGACATTTTGCTATGACGAGTTCTTGCTTGCTGCGTTGCAGAATATCGTGCTGCTGTGAAACTAACAATTGTTCGCCTTTTCATGTAGATTCAATTGATGGGTCTTGTGTTTATAAATAATAATTTTTCTCCTTGTGAATTGCATTGGAAGTTCATTTGTATCTGCAACCCTGTGTGTTTACTCAGTCGTACTGATACCATCTTGCCACATCCTGTGCTTTATTGAATGCGTTCCAAGAAGTGAAAGGCATCCTGAGCCTCGCGCCGAAGCTTCGTGTCTCTCATTGATAAGTTGCAGCAAAGACGCGCGCTAAACTTTCTGTACCCACGCTACCCGGGCTGCTGGACGCGGGGTGCCGCGGTATACCCACGCTACCCGGGCTGCTGGACGCGTGGGCGCCGCGGTGTACCCACGCTACCCGGGCTGCTGGACGCGGGGCGCCGCGGTGTACCCACGCTACCCGGGCTGGTGGACGCGGGGCACCGCGGTGTACCCACGCTACCCGGGCTAGTGGACGCGGGGCGCCGCGGTGTACCCACGCTACCTGCCCTGGGAGGTCGCGGGGCGCTGCGAAGTACCCAAGTTTTCGGGGCTGGGGATGGTGGGGCGCCGCGGTGGGTGAGGGAGGTAGAAACCTCCGTCCGCGGATGATTGGAGTTCCTGATGCGCACGGGCTGGAGGCTCAAGAACTGGAGTAGTTGAGGATTGGGGATGTGAATGATGAGAGGCTCAGAAACTTGGGATAAAAGGAATCGGAGCTGGAGTCGGGATCTGCAAAAACTCAGGACTCTAGGACTGCAGGACTCTGGGACTGCAGGACTCGGGGACTGCAGGACTCGGGGACTGCAGGACTCTGGGATTGCAGGACTCGGGGACTGCAGGACTCGGGGACTGCAGGACTCTGGGACTGCAGGACTCTGGGACTGCAGGACTCGGGGACTGCAGGACTCGGGGACTGCAGGACTCGGGGTCTGCAGGACTCAGGGACTGTATCAGGTTCGTCTATATTATGTGGTCAAACTCCTCTTCCCACTTTAATAGGGTCTGGTTCGAGGTATTTTGGGAAGTGTCGGGATCTAATGTTAGATTTTCATCAGTTTTGGACATTGATTGCCGTATGCCTTCGAGAGTACTCGCATCGTCGTCTGATATCTGGCCACAAATGATCATTTATAACTAGCAAACAAAAATTTGTTGAAATAAAGTGGAGTTGGGATCTATTAATCTATTTCATTGTTGAAAGAACAAGTTCAGTTGAGAACCTAGCGACACTCTGCCCCAGCCATCGTCTTCACCGTCTGTATTCTTGTCTTTCATTAACGCACCACGGTTTCTTAATCAATTATTTCTGTTTATTCGTTGTTTCTATGGTGGTTTGTTCATACGTCGCAGAAAAATTAAAATGTTTTTAGGTTGATTCTCTTGACTCGTGCTTGAAGTTCCTTAGCAAACTCGTAGCAAATTTGGCCTTTAAACTAAGAGCCATATCTTACACTTTAATGAATGTTAACAGTGCGTTACAAGTCTGCCATTAGACAAAAATTTTCTCTTCCAGCTTCGTAACTTTCAGTTTCATCTGAAAAGTCGACTTTCCCTCTCCTTGGATGAATGTCGCCGCTCTGTGAACGGGAAACCCGAACCAAGTTGGCGGTTAGTGAAAGTGAGAGCCGAGGCTTGGGTGGCTAAATTTTTTGTTTCTCTGGTTCAGTGAACATCTTTATTCAGAGCTTTTCATTTTTTCGCAGCGCTTTTTGTTTCGTAAAGTTCACACTTTCTCTTTATTTTTTGTTAAGGCGGCGCCAAGTTCATGGTGAATGGAAGTGTTGCAATGGAAAGCACGACGTCTCTTAGTCAGGAAATAATATCTTTATTCATAAATTTCAGTTTCATGCTCATGTTATTCATCCATTCAATTGTTCATTAAATTTGACCGAGTTGTGAATTTTTAAGCATCAGGTTAAAATTAGTTTCATTATTTTCACTTGACTGCGTGTGGCTTAAAAAATCTGAGCTCAATTTCATGACCGTCAACTTAGAATTCAAGCCAAACCCTCTGCGCGTAACCCATTACCACTTGCATTGAAGACACAAGTTGCGCACTGCTGTTCATAAGTAAACGGACGATGCGTTTTGTCTGATGCGCATAGCGCACGCTATGCCATGTTTCGTTGTGGCAGAAAGCGTGTTAGTCACTCTGGGTTCCAAAGCTACACTAATCGATCCTTCTATCCCAATGCATTTCTTAAGCCTTGTATCATTGTTATCAGTGGCGCAAAATATTTCCCTGGTGTTTTTTTTCTTATTCCAAAATTGCAGATAATCTTATGAGGGCCAATGTGTCTGACTTCAGCAGATCAACATGCGTAGTTTTTAATGTAGATCTCGTAAACCTTTAACTGAGCCCGGTGCTATTAAAGATAATTTTGTAGTCGCAAACGTCTGTTGAATATATCAAGAAATCAATCAGTTATTTCTTAATATCGCGAGTTTCATGAGAAAAAAAATCTCTCCGAGTTCCTACTGACAACTGTGCCATTGCTCCGTACTTCCGTCTTCCCTCTGGCATCACCTATAATAATGGTCAGTGCCTGAGGGGTCGCGGGTCTTTACAACATGACAGTCGTAGAAAGTGAAAGTTCTCCCTCTCTTCCTTATTGGCAACCCAGAAGGCAGTCGGTGCTCTCGCAACTCTACACTCACCTGCTGCACTCTGCACTTCCTTCAAAATATTCCTCGACCGAAGACCACAGTTTGTCATCTTCCGATGAAGCAAGCGAAGAAATGCTATTAGCCCGCAGTCATCGTTTGAAGAGCTTGCCTGAGATCGAGGACCAGAGTTCAAAAAACACTTATGACAGTTCAGTCATACGAGAACCTAGAGTCCTGGACTGGAAAGTTGCACAAAATCACGAAGAAAGAATTATAATGAATGACGCAAGAACAAGACGAAATCTTGAGCTTCATCCTGAGCCCCTGCAAAATCAGCTGTTGCTGTGCAGTAACATCGAATTTATCCCAAGACTAAGCTTGAAACCCAAGTATTCCTGCAACCTCCTGAAAACTAAATATATTAGTTTAGTTATTTCGTGTTTTACATTACTTTTAGCGAACTGTTGTCTTGCTGAGCCCTCCGCTCAGTTCAGTTTTCCGGACGATATTTTTTCTGGCTCACGACGTTTCCCTCCGAGCCCGCGCGCAATCCCAGACGCTGTCCATCACAGTCAAGGTTTTGAACCCGAGTTCACGAATACCAAAGAACAGCATGAAACTTTTATTGTTGAGCCTTATGACTCAGGCGAAATTTTCCTTTCCCCATACTCCCCCATTTCATCCTCAACGCCCCGCGACCATCGGAGAAAACCTTTGCAGAGCGTCAATCAATTCCACTACGACGACATTACCCGCAAGCCTGTCTGGAACTCCTCGCGGCCGAGCCTGCATTCGTCTGCTGCATCCATCTGGCCTTCAACCCGTCCGTCTTCTTCGGGCGAAAAAATTCGCTTCCCGTCCGACACGGACCGGCCCTACCGCTACAGCCGCGCACGCCTGCCGCCGGAACTCGCTGCCCTCGACGACTTCGAACTTGACGCTTTCTTCGATGCCATCCACCGCAACAGCTCGAGATATGCACGGCGCCCCGCTGATAACTTCGCTGATGGTAAATAAAAGTGTTTATTTTTACTGCAATTAGATGTTATTTTATTGCAGCCATGCTCGTAACAAGACGGGGGAAAATTATATTCCATATTTTTAAGATGAGGAATTTGATAAATGATATTACGCTGATGTTAGAGGCCTTCGATTCTGCTTATATCGATGACCATCCTTGAGGTTTCTCGCTCTCCAATGAGTGTAATGGCTGTTCATTTCAGCCATCGACTAATCAGTATTCAAATAAGGAGGACCCACAGAGAGGAACAGCGTTCACTAATCAGTTAGAACTGAGGAACTGTAGTATTCCTCAGTTATAACCGAGTACTGATTTTTCTATGCTGAGCCTCAACCTCAGTGTTCAATGCTGAGATTTTTCACGGGCACACTCATTAATGGTGGCACAGAAACTCACGCATGAGCACCGTTGCCAATTCAAGTTGTGCAGGTTATTTCAGGTTCAGGTTATTTTTATAAATTGGTAGCTCAAATATGACAACTATTTTGTTGACACAATTTTCCTACGGCCCACGCTATCGGGTTTCCTTTTCCTTAAGAACTTTTCAAAAACACTCCGTCTCGTGCAACTCATGACCCGCACTGGTTAGGGTTAAGAGATGGGTTGAGTGTTGGAGGATGACTGGTGTTATGCATGCCCATGAAGTCCTGCCAAAGGCATGAGTGTTGGGGCTGGCTGATGTTCTGCATGTCCTGAGTCATGCCAGAGGCACGAGTGTTGGAGGCTGACTGATGTTGTGCATGTACAGAGTCATGCCAGAGGCACGAGTGTTGGGCATGTCCAAAGTCATGCCAGAAGCATGAGTGTTGGGGCTGGCTGATGTTCTGCATGTCCAGAGTCATGCCAGAGGCACGAGAGTTGGGGCTGGCTGATGTTCTGCATGTCCAGAGTCATGCCAGAGGCACGAGTGTTGGGGCTGGCTGATGTTCTGCATGTCCAGAGTCATGCCAGAGGCACGAGAGTTGGGGCTGGCTGATGTTCTGCATGTCCAGAGTCATGCCAGAGGCACGAGTGTTGGGGCTGGCTAATGTACTGCATGTCAAGAGTCATGCCAGAGGCACGAGTGTTGGGGCTGGCTAATGTACTGCATGTCCAGAGTCATGCCAGAGGCACGAGTGTTGGGGCTGGCTGATGTTCTGCATGTCCAGTCATGCCAGATCGGCACGAGTGTTGAAGGCTGGCTGAAGTTCTGCATGCCCATGAAGTCATGCTATGAGGTACGAGAGTTGGAGCTGGCTGATGTTGTGCATGTACAGAGTCATGCCAGAGGCACGAGTGTTGGAGGCTGACTGATGTTGTGTATGTACAGACTCATGCCAGTGGCACGAGTTTTGAAGGTTGGCTGATGTTCTGCATGTCCATGCAGTCATTCCAGATACCCGAGCGTTTGGGCTGGCTGATGTTCTGCATGTCCATGCAGTCATGCCAGATACCCGAGTGTTTGGGCTGGCTGATGTTTTGCCTGTCCAGAGTCATGCCAGAGGCACGAGTGTTGGAGGCTGACTGATGTTCTGCATGGCTAGTCAAGCTAGAGGCACGAAAGTTTGAGACTGGCTCCTAAACTACAGTGGCCGAAAGTGTAGATTTTTGTGCTTCATGCTGTGCTAGTTAAGGCATTAGAATTCAGTTACGATTAGTAGTTTCGATCTACTCCTACTATCTTACACTCATTCACAACGCAACTTTTCAGTCCTACCTATGTGTAGCTGAAAAATTTTCGACCTATGTAGGAAAATATGTAGACCTTCAGCTTTTTTAGCCTATGTAGAGACATTTAGCTTGCAAACCTGCTGTCCGAATTTCAAAGCGTTGTCATTGTTCCACTAGATTTAAAGTGTCTACAGTATTTCTCTTAAAGAAATTTTAACTATTGTTGTCGGGTCGTTCGTTCCGTTGGTTCAAGGAAACGTGGTTCAATCAAGAGTAAATAGGCTTTATTCAGAGAACAGACAGAGTTACACGGATAACAAGTGTTCGGGCGGCACGACCAGCATAACGTGATTAAAAGATCCGCACACGTGTAACACTGCTAAAAGACTCCCGGAACAACCCGCCACTGACTGACGACACATTGTCACAGCGAGAAATCCGCTAAATTAAACATGAGAAAACTTGACAAAACCTAATACAATAACGAGGAAATACTTAAATTACCAAAATCATATTAAGATACAAAAAGGCTAGCGTGAGACAGGCGAACTCACAATAATACAATATACAAATGTTAAAAATTACACCCTACAACACTATCACGGGAATTATGACGTGAGGCAATATTGTGCCTGTGGTTTTGTGCGAGGGTTACTGGGCGACCTGATTATATGCGCATGGCGGTGCCATGCAGGGTCTATGCGCATGGTGGTGCTCAGGGTGGAGGGTTCTTGTCAGGATGATGGAGCATGGCTCTGCTACGGTACTCCGTCTGAATTTGGCCCGCCTGCACGGAACATGCCACATATGTCAGCTAGTTTGTCATATGGGCCTTTTTCTGGCCAGCTTGATCGATTTTGGCCTTATTCATATGAGTTACGCGGCTAGAATATACAATTGTCTCAAACTTAATGTAATTATCAACTCTAAAAAACATAGAACTTGACTTGTTGCAATGCAGATTAAAAATTTACCAGTATATTGAATGGAGGGTCATTTTTGCCTTTATTGTCAGCTGATATGGTCGTTTTCCTCAGTCATCATCTGTCAACCGTGTTCGTCACGTTATAACACTAGGGCGCCATTTTCATGGCTACTGCAAGAAAAGCCAAAACAAAAATTTCATTATTTAAGCTCATCTCGTACTAAATATTTAGAACTGTAGAAGACGGACCAATATACTATCACGTCAAGAAAAAACATAAAATATAAATTTTAATTATAATTACATTTGACTTGTTGGCCTTTATTGTCAGCTGATGTGGCCGTTTTCATCGGGCCTTTTCTTAAGGAGATTTTAAAGGCCCTTACGACACTTTAAATCTAGTGGAACAATGAAATTACGCTTTGAACTCACACCTCCAATTATGGAAGTGTTGAGTTCTTAAATGTATCAATTGTATATCATAATGATAGTGTTCGCAAGACTGCAATTTGCTTATCTGGGGCCATACTTTCAAAACTCGCTAAGTGAACGTAAGTACATACGCTCTATTTTCTTGTCTATGATTGGTGGATTTTGCTTGAAAGGCCGTCAATGATTGGTTAATGAACTTACGATCTCTTAACTTTTTTTGAAAACATGATAATTGGCTAAGAGGTAGTATAGTTCTGACAACATTAGTTTGGTATCACCAAGCCCGAGTCACCGCCTACTTCCGGGCCGCCCTCCATGAAGACGCTCGCTGGCCTTGGAACAGGCGCTCGTCGGCCCTGAACCGGCCGTGCGATGCTTGCCGGGGCGGGTGAAAGCGGACGGCAGAGCGACATAGGGATTACCAGATGCCAAAGACAGCCTTTGTGACATCCGGGTCAGGAATTTTCCTTTTAGTTCCACATTAATATGAACAAAATTTACCTAGTGATGTTAGACTGCCCAGAATTGATGTAGTCCAAGCTACTTTGATGCCGCCGCCTGCTATTGGTATTCTATTGGCGTCGCAGTATTCAGGACGATTTAGCTGAAAATTAATCTTAAACTTGAAGTTAAAAAATAAATTATTGCTATTGGCTTGATGAAATCTCGGCTCTACGTGTCACTATTTTCGCGTGTTGACACTGCGTGAAAATGCATCTGCGAGAAGCGTGTGTGCTCATTTTTCGCTACAGGCCTATAGGGTTTGTTCAACTACTTTTTTTATTTAGGATTGTTAGTACCCAAATTTTGTGTTCCGATCTTTTCACTAACAGGAACTGCGGTTTTTCGTAGCTACAAGCATTTATGAACCAATATTCGATTTTGCAGTCCCTAAAACACGTTACTAATTATTTTTTTTTTCTTTTGTGTGCAGCCATACCACAAAGTTGCTGGTACAAGAGCAACAAATACAATTGTGGGCTGTCGGTGGGCTGTGTGTTCCAAGGGGCGCGCCCCATGGACCTCTGTAACGGCGGCATGATCTGGTCCTGCTGCGTGCCCAGGGACAGGGTGGACGCCATCGAAACGGACTTGGGGGTCGTCGAGGACGTCAGTAAGTCTAAAGATTTGTTCCCCTTGAGTGGGGACCGTGGACGTGCTTGTCACTGTGTTGTGGAGTGATGCAAATGTAGGTGTTGTTGGTACTGTATCAAAGCTATAGCAATTAGTATTAAGCTTCACACTCACTTTCTCGTCTAACTCACGACAACACAGTCACTGCAGCCGCTCTACCTCAGCCACTGTCACTACAATACAGACACTGTAGTCGCTCTACCTCAGCCACTGTCCCTACAATACAGACACTGTAGTCGCTCTACCTCAGCCACTGTCACTACAATACAGACACTGTAGTCGCTCTACCTCAGCCACTGTCACTACAATACAGACACTGTAGTCGCTCTACCTCAGCCACTGTCACTACAATACAGACACTGTAGTCGCTCTACCTCAGCCACTGTCAC